AACTTTATGCACTAATCTACTAATTTAAGACAGAAGTGCACTTTCTTGAGAAAAAGATGCGTTAAAATTCTATTTTATAATCCGTTGCATGTCTTCGTAATTATTGAATGAACCCGCATTGCTTCACGCTGCGATATTCACTTATACGGTAGTTTCATGAATGAACTATCAATAGTAAACGTACGCACGCCGCACGTGGCGAACGATGCTGTTCAATTGATCAATGAACTACATTTTTTTTTCCCCCTCCTTTTTTGTGCATTTTAGTTTCCAACGTAGCCGGTTGCGTGTGGTCCGCTCACGCCGACGGCACGCAATTTATAAAACGCTTATTGCATTTACTTACTCGGGTCAACTGTCATATACCGAACGTGAAAATGTGGCGTACGACACACGACGTGATAAACGCTAATTTATTTATGTTCTGCGCTTGAAATGCCACGTCAAAGGCACACGTTCCATTAATTCAATTTTTAAACATCGTACGCATTCCATTGATATGTACACGTTCCGACAGGCGCTTGTACATTTCCACTGTACTGTGTTCGATTTTTAACCGTTAGTTCAATTTAAAACTGTCGTGCAATTGCAGTGATCTATTTCTAATTTTTTTATGAAAATTAGAAGAATATATTAATTGAGATTTGAAGCGTTTCTTATTTTTGTTATATCTGTACAAATGTACAAATTTATTTTTCAATTTGTCAAACCTAAACTTTGTCGAAAACTTAATCTCATCGAATTAGCCTGAAATTCATTTATGTATTCTTAAACAATATTCGACTGTTTTTAGTTTTGTATTGTTTCTGATATGCCAAAAGTGTTATATATGTATGCAAATCTGTCAACATTTTTAAAGTATTTTTTAATAATCGGTAAAACGAAATATGTTTTGAAAGGACCTTATTATTTTAATAAATTTTTAATTGATTTATTGTTTCCAAAGTGAACTTCTGTTGCCCGATTTATGGTTGATAGAAAAATTACTTGGTAGAAAAATTTAATAGTATATGAAATAAATCCATTTTTGTTTACGATGGAAAACATCTAAAATATTTAAAAACGTTATATTAACGTTAATGTTCACTATAATAGTACTTCAGAAAAATATTTAATATCATTAATTAATAATGTATTTAGCACTCGTTCCTTAATATTAATTATGTTACTTACATAACTAGTAACATCCAAATCGAGCGCCAATTTATTTTATATTACTTGAATTACAGTACTTATAGCTCAGCTAATTAGGTTCGATTTCTTGATAATTTCTTATCTCATTTTGTTCGATTAAAGAAAAACTTGTGTCCTCTATCTGAATTTTCTCAGCATCCATTACTAATACACAATATACCTTAATGAAACAATATCTTATGTTATATAATGTATACAATTATATGTTATGTTATAATAATGTAATTAATGAAACTATATCTTTATTTCATAAATTCTTTCAAATGATTATTTATTTACAACACTTACTTCCTTGACGTTCTTGTACTATACACATAAAGATGTAGATGCAATCCTTAACGTTCCCTAATTTTCTTAGTAAATACTCATTTCATCCATAAAACAACAGAATATTGATTAAGGAAACATTTATAGAACTCAATATAATAAAACAGAAAATATATCTCAAGATACGACAAACATAATAAATAAAAATGAAAACAAATTTTTTCACGTTTCCACATAATGGAACCCTTCGATTATTACGGATTAACCTCTTATTTCGAATTTCCCCTGACATTCAAAGGGTTGAACTAGTGAAATACTGGTTCAATCAGATTTCAATTCACGAAAAAACCACACGAACTTCGTCCGATACCTAATATAAACTGAAGTTACTAAAAAACCTTAAACATCGAATCTCTTTTTAAAGGGAGATAAATAAATTAAGTGTCGGCCTATAAAAATGTAAATCAGAAGCCTGTAGCGGCGTACAATAAAAAATATATTTCGCTACGGCGAAAAATAGCTCGGCGTACTTACACGTTCCTGATTCCATCAATTTTATAAGCGATCGTTGATCCTCGATGCGATAACGATTATCGGACGGGCTATTCAGTTAAAAGGTTGTCGCGGTTTTTTTGTTTTGAAATTTCACTCGAATATTCGCATGGAGCATTTCTCCGTTTTTGTATAATTGGACCATGTTGATGCGTGGCACAGAAGTCGACACACTCTTTTATTACGGGTTCCGCTTTTGATCGATCGATAATGAGAATCGGCGTGAGTATCGCACACATGCGCCGGCCGTATTGAAACCATTAAAGCGCGCAGGAGATATTTTAATTGAACCAGCTTACGCACGATTCGTCTCGATGCATGAACTTCCTTATAACTCGAGATCGAATACGGTCATCTCTGCGCTTCGCTGGCAATCGATGCGATTGCAAATTATTCCGCCATATCGTCGATCAACGTTCCCAGATTTCCGGAGAATTTTGTTTTACTTCTTCTATCGGTTTCAAATCGGACGTGAAAAGAGACGAGCACGGTGAGCGTAATATCGTCGGATTACTGTAAAAAATACGCGACCGAAGTAACGGGTGATGTTATTTAAATAAAAAGGAGTATTTCGGTTGATGTAGTTTAGACTACGAGTGCAGCCGAAGAGGATGCTGTTATTAAAAATGAATTGAACTAATTTAAAACTACTCTAATTGTAGTATTCGTGACTCTGTATGATTTAATTCTATGAAAATATAAATTGATCACATAAAGCTTCTTTATAATGAAATGCATGAGTTATTAATATACAATGTTGAGACAGTAAAATAGAGACATGGAAGGACGGTATAATAATATAAACATATAATACAAAGTATAATTTAAAGTTTATTATATTAAAAAAATGTAATATAGTTTCATGATGACTGGTTATAACTTATTTTACAAAGAATGGAATAAAAGAAAAATCACTTTTATATTCTACTATATTGTAGGTAAAATAAAGATGGTTATTTCATTATTCACTAACCAATTCTGTACATGTATTCGTTTACATTGATAGATCCTCGAGAAACACGCCGATTACGCATAATCGATTAAATAATACACGGAGATTTCTCCTTTTTGTTGCAGATATTCATTATTCCGTCCGTAGAATGCTGATAGCCGCTGTTTATATAATTTGAATAGGTAAGCATCTAACGTTTCACCGGAAAAACCGTCGGGCACGAGCTGACAACGCGTGCGTGAAAGCCTCCGGGATATTAAAATGTTATAAATGATTACTTCGCGCGATTCACACGAAAGATAAACTTTCTCGTCTGAATATAGCTCATTAACCGGCAGTGTTAAAACTCGGCCGACGTATAGGTAACCGTTTTTACGAGGCACCATCGTTTAAAGGGAATTATAACGATGTCTGTCTACATGCTTGAAAGTGGACCGTTTAATGCGGCTGGCGTACGACTTTGTGTGTTGTATAGTGTCGAAGCAAATGCGATTCCTTAGCACTACACATGTGGCGCGCATTATTTTAAAGACATGCGACACTGACGCGCTCGGGATAATTATACGATGTCACAATTTTCTTTATTCTTACATTCGTCAATCCCGAGGAATGCTCCTCAATATTCATACCGTGTACACAAGGACACATGGGCGACATTTAATACAGAAACCACTACCAACATGAATAATTAGCTTATTTTGTACTTGATGGAATCGTACAAATAGTAATGACCGAAATTATTTGAAAGATTAATAGTTTCGCTTACTTAATGTGAAATTTGAAGAAATTTAAAGAAATTTAGAATTTAAAAATATGTATTCTTATAATGTTTATACGAAATGTATGCCGATTATATTAAATGTTTGGTAGTTTTAGCGTTAAACGATAATTTAGTACCAAATATAAAACACCGTTTATCTCTGGTTTTATAATGAAGAATAGGTAGAAATAAAATTGAAGAGCTATAACTATCTTACAATACGATGGTCAGAACATTTTAATATATTTTTGGTAAAATTAGTGTAGAATTAGTTTGACAGATACTGTTATTAATTCTACGATATATTAAATTTCATAATCTATTGTAACATTAGAAACCTTCGTGTTTAATTTTAAATGTTACTATATAAAATCGTAAAAAACGTCCATTTTCGATTATATTTCACTTATAAAATGATATATATTTTTATATCATTTCGTTACATTTTTACAGTCTTACTAAAAAAGTATTTTCTCAGACAAATTGGTGTGCACCATCATGTTAATAACAACTCACAGAATAAACGTAATCGAACTTCGATAAGTAAAGTCGCATATGTATACATTACATATGGAAACAACAATAATAAAACTTTGATTTGTACATACGTAAAAATAAATTTCGATTTGTAGAGTTTGGGCTTCTGAATTCGAATTGTAGAGGTAAAAATACATACTAAACACGGGGCGCATAATTCTAGTTACAGAGTTGTTGCATTTCAAGGTATAGAAGTTTTTACGGCGGAGCGGAAGGGGATGAAGGAACTTAACGAGTTATAAAGGTTCGAGTTACCGTGGTCCGACCGTATTGTGTTTTATACTCTATACAACGATGATTTTACTACCTCACCAGCAACAAGCTGAGAAGTTTATTACTTCGCTTTTGCTCCATCCGAGCAGGAATATTCAGAAAATATCGGCGACGTGAATTGTACAATAAAATACACAGCCATCAAACTCTGAACGGTAATCCAGAGCTAAAAGCAGAAGTTGCCGCGTGTCGCGCGATGTATCGATAGCTCGCTGCGTCCCTGACGTTTACAGGTCGGCGGGACCGTGGCGAAGTCACGGATTGATAAAAGTGAGGATACGAGCGTTGATAACGTCGGGCTTCCGCGTAGCTTCCTCAAGCTGAAATCAACCACGGATTCTCATGCGTTTTGCCGTAGATGTTACAGATTATTCGGAATGGACGTAATCGCCTACAATCACCACGAGATCGCGAGCATCGGAAATAGCATCGATGGAGGTGAGGTCGAGGCCCAGTACGAGGACGAAGTGGAGGACATACTGCCATACATCGACATCGACCGAACCCACCTGACGATCGATCAGCTGACCGCTGCCGGTGGCGAGAAGATGATGCCGTTCAGGAAGAGCCTATTCCCGAACGTCGCGCCGTACATCGTATTCCAGTCGTTCGACTATAAGGGACCAACAGCGCCGTACGAAGTAACGAGACACCTGAGGTGGCGCTTAAGCACGATCACACCATTAATAGTACGTCGTACCTTGGTGAACTCAGGTTTCCAGCTGACGAAGAAGTCGCAGAAATGGTGCGGCACGTGGGGCAAGCACATGAAGTCGGTCTGCTTCAAGACCCTGAAGGAGTGGCAGAAGATCAACCACTTCCCGGGTACGTTCCAGATCGGCCGCAAGGACCGTCTCTGGCGGAACCTCAGCTGGATGATGATGAAGCACGGCATAAGGGAGTTCGGCTTCGTTCCGAGGACGTTCGTACTACCTCAGGATCTCAATTGCTTCCGGCAAGTGTGGAAGAAATTGAGCGGGCACAAGGAGAAGTGGATCGTGAAGCCGCCGGCGTCCGCCCGGGGGACCGGCATCAAGGTGGTGCACCGCTGGTCCCAGATACCAAAGAAACGCGCCGTGGTCGTGCAACAGTATTTGTCCAGGCCGAAGCTGATCAGCGGCGCGAAGTTCGACCTCCGGCTGTACGTGCTCGTCACCAGCTTCAACCCGTTGAGGATATACCTCTACCCGGACGGGCTGGTGCGATTCGCCTCGGTCAAGTACAACGACGACATTAACTACCTCAGCGACCGCTTTATGCACTTGACCAATTACAGTATCAATAAGACCAGCGCCACGTACACCAGCAACGACTGCGTCGACTCCTGTTCGGGCCACAAGTGGACGCTCAGGACGCTCTGGTCTTATCTCGAGAAAGAGCACGTGAACGTCTCGAAGCTGTGGGAGTCGATGAAGGACATCGTGGTTAAGACGATGATCGCCGTCGAGTCTCCGATCACCACCCTGACGAGGACCAACACGACCTCGCGGTACTGTTGCTACGAGCTGTTCGGGTTCGACATACTGCTGGACGAGAACCTGACGCCGTGGCTGTTGGAAGTGAACATTTCGCCCTCGTTGCAGTCCTCGTCGCCCCTGGACATGGCCGTGAAGGGGCCGTTGATCAAGAATGTGTTCAACATTGTTGGGTATCAATTGCCGAACAACCTGGCGGCGGAAGACGAGCAGAAGATAGCGCAGAAATATCAGTTGGACGTCGTGTGCCAGGACTTCAGGCTGCACAGGTCCATGCTCAGCTATCAGGAGCGGCACAAGCAGTCGATGTACGCGAACCTGAGGAACAGGGACGACTACATTGATGATATTATAGATGTCCTCACACCGGACGACGTTAGACATTTAATAGCTTACGAGGACGAGGTGACGCAATTAGGCAAGTTCGAGAAGATCTTTCCTACGGTCGACAGCCACGAGTACTTGCAGTATTTCGACGTTCCCAGGTATTACAATATGCTGTTCGACGCGTGGGAATTTAAGTACAGCGATAACCGGGAGAAAGGTATATCGAGATTACAGAAACTATGCGAAACGAAGTACCATTTGGCGCAGCAAGTGGACTGCTAGGAGACTGAATTAGGGACGTAAATTCATCGCCGTCGGCGTCTTCCACGTTGACGGGATAACGACGAGAGCCGTCGATCCTTTCATTTTTTCTTTTTATATACGCTATACAGCATCTTGTTATATGTGAGTTACTATAGTACCGACGTACCGTTGTCACGAAACGATCGCATCATGTGCCTTTTTCACGGTTGTGCAAATTTACTTTGATGTATTAAATCTCTATATTAATAAATCATTTTACAATGAAACGACGCATCGACGTAGTTTTCTTTTATTTTGTTTTCGTTGGTTTCTCGTTGTCGGACAGAGATTTTCATTCCACGCGAGAATGCGAGTTGACGGCGCGCAAGCGTGCGACAGGTTTGTATCGTTTTTGTAGGGATTTAAGTAGATAAGGAAATATTGTTTTGTGAACTAAACACTCGATATTCGAAAGTAAAATCATCATTAGATACAGAGAATTTATGTATGTATATTGTCATCGAGAAGAGGAGTAACTTTTACTTGTACCGATGCTTGTTAATTACGGAAACTACGTACTTCATTTAAAAAACTTTTCATTGCATATTATGAAGTGTATAATTCCCTGCGTTCTGATTTAAATTTTCTAATTTTTCGTCTGAAATTTAATTAAAATATCCTATTCGCGTGTCTTATTAATATTTTTGTTAATAGTGATATATTCTGTTTTGTTGCCGTAACAAACGTCTTATGTTCATTTACAAAACATAGTGGCTTGAAAAACTTGCTGCACATTATACCTTATCTTTCTTCGTACAGTATATTCGAGAAAAAGGAGACACATGTAAGAACAGTTCATGGAATATTTTCTTTGACAATTGAATAAGCTATTAATAAAAAATCAGTTACTTTTTGTATGATAACTAATTTTTCAATAATAGTGATCTCAATATCGTTTTTCTTTCGAAAGATAATTTTTGAATTATTTTTTATTCCCTACATTGTAAAGGTTCGTATCCGGCGATTCAAGTTGTTTTTACTTGTTAAATGGTAATAAAGATAACTTTTTTGATACAGTGTTTAGGTTATTGTCTTATATAACATTCAATGATAATGTTCAAATAAATATTTTAAACTATAATGTTTTTGCGAAAATCAAATTTTCCTGACTCATTCTCATTTATATGTCCCCTGTCTAACAATAATATTGTATTTATATTTATGTACAATTCTTCGTACTGTTTCGTACGACTGTTTGAACATCTGATTCGAATACATTAAATTTATTTCAACTAACGCATAAAATTGTTTTTGAAAAACCGGATTCCCCTTCCACGTGTATTTCCGTAGAGTCTATTTGTCACTTTGTATTTACTTATTTTAGAAATACAGGATTTATTTCGAATCACTCGAGGTTATACTATTGTGTTGCAATAACATTTTACCATTTAAACTAGTTGTAAGACAAACATCTTTTGGACAAATCTTATCTTCATTAATACCCTTACATTTTTTAAATTAATTATTGACTATCAATTGCGATGGACCTTGTTTTATATTTATAATATTTTAAGAATCTCACAGCACTGGTAACAGATTTGAAATATTTAACACAAATATTTCATAACTAACATTCTTCTATAAACAGTGCAAGATGATAAAATCATAAATGTAGTGTGCGAACATTTTTTTGAGCCACTGCTTTATCTTGATTTCGCATTTTTATTATTTAAACAATCTAAATCTAACGAAAGAATAATTATTTATCTTCACATCTCACTGTTACTGTAATTCACGTTAAATCGATCATTAAAATACCAATTCCAAGCGAAAGTGAACAAACTATCATCAACGATAACTGACAGTTACGTATAAAATACTTATCCACGTTATCCTCAAATTAAAAAGAAAATATCCCAAAATATGAAACTCAAAAATTCCATCTTCAATAGTAGCAATGCAACGAACTTCACGCGTAGAAATTAAATATTAGTTAAATCGACAATTGCACCATAGCAAGTGATATTAAATAGACAACTTCCGACGGTGTGCCGCTCAAAATGCACACACTTCTCGCTTTCCCGCCGACCGTTCAGCCTAACCCGCCACAAATTTTCGGCCGGTCCATTAAAATTCCCGTCAGTTATTCTCCGCCAACATTCGACAACCACTTACCACCGATACCGAAGCTATTACCCACGAGACGCCGTCATTTGGAAACATGACAATTCAGTCGACGCGAAACGCCCAAGCGAGCACGAGTTCCGGTGAGCTGACGCCAAGCGGTCGCTTCAAGGACGACGAAATGCACGCGTACGTCGAGATCACTGAATTCCTGATAGCGGCTCCGAAGCCACGGATTACCGTCGCTCCGCGTCGTTCGCTGTCAACCGGTGCAAACAAGCACCTAACCCTGCCGATGCGCAAGAGCCTCTTCGCCCATGTGCCGCCGTTCATCATCTTCCGGAACAGCGCGACAGCCGACAGGCTACCACCAGCGATCACGAAACACCTGCTCTGGTGGCGCGCGAAGAAGTCCTTCCCTAGGATCATCTCCTCGACGATCATGAAATCGGGGTTTCGCACGACCACCAAGCACTCGTCCAACTGGTGCGGGACCTGGTGCGACAGCAGGCACGTTCGTTCTCAGCTGCGACACACCCAAGTGTTCTCCAAAGTGAACCTCTTCCCCAGCAGCGTCCAGTTCGGCGACAAAATGTTGCTCTGGAAGAACTTCCATCGAATGAGGAGGAAGCACGGCGGCAAACACTTCGACTTCATGCCGTGGACGTTCATACTGCCGGAAGAGAGGGACTATCTAAGGAAGTACATACAGAGGAACGGCGGAATATGGATCCTGAAGCCACCGTGCTCCTGCGCGGGAAACGGCATTAAATTGGTCTCCCGTTTCTACGAAGTACCCAACGGTCGTCCCCTAATCGCCCAACGCTACATCGCGAAGCCCAGATTGATCGATGGCGTCAAGTTTGACATAAGACTGTACGTGTTGCTGACCAGCATCGACCCGCTCCGAATTTACGTTTACAACGACGGCCTGGTGAGGCTGGCTACCGTCAAGTACGTCGATCATGTAGACACTTTATCTAATAAATTCATGCACCTCACGAACACCAGCGTGAACAAGCGCAACCCTAGCTTCGAGCCCAATGATGACCCAACGAAGTGCAGGGGCAACATGTGGTCCTTGGGTTGCCTATGGGAATACTTGTCCTCGGTTGAAGACGTTGATCCGATCGGCATCTGGACGAAGATCAAGGACATCGCCGTGAAAACCGTGATCTCTACTGAACCGTTCCTCGTCGACTCCTGGAGGAAACGTTCCATGTCCACGTATAATTATTATCAACTGTTCGGGTTTGACATCCTTCTGGACCAGCAGTGTCGCCCGTGGCTGCTCGAGGTGAATACGTTTCCTTCCATGCAGCCGGACACGCCGTTGTGCAGGATAGTCAAGTGTCAGTTGGCCAAGGATTACCTGAACCTGGTGGGTTTCCACGTGCCGAATGTGCTGACCGGTATGGAATTGAGGACCTTGAGGAGGAATTACAAGGAGGACACCGTGTGCTACAACCAACAGCTGTACTCTAGCTCGTTGACGTGGGCGGACAGGAGGAAGCAGTGCGCATTCTCGAAGGTGACTCGGAGAGAGTACTTGAAGCCGATCTTGAAGAACCTCACGCCCGGCGACGTGAGAGTATTGATACGGTACGAGGACGAGATCGCGAGGACCGGTCGTTTCGAAAAAATCTTTCCCACGTGCGAGACGCACAGGTATCTGGAGTTCTTCGACGAGGTCAGGTATTACGATCTACTCTTGGACGCTTGGGAGAACGAGTACGGGGAGAGTCGATCGAGAGGCGTCGAGAGACTTAGGAGACTGTGCAAGAAGAAGGTTCATTTGACTTAATGGATTTGAAGGATTTTAGGAAATATTCTGATTGGGATGGAAGAGATTGAAATTAAGTAGCGGGAAAATTTTTATTTGCAACATTAAAATAATTGTCAGGTGTTGGACTGATTAAGCATTTCGGTGGATTGAGTCATGAACAATTTAATTGTTCAATAAAGAGGGATTTTCATTCTATCTTCGAATGATCGAAGTTGATCGGAAATATTAAAATAAATATCATTAGTTGCACATGGGATGTATAATAAATTGTAAACTGTTCGCGAAATATGCGGATTGCGATTCATGTGGAAATATTAAACGTTAGACGTAAAACGTTGAACGTTTAATGATGTTTTACACGTGTGATAGGTTATGCGAGAAGTAACGAAAATTATTATCATTAGAAATGTGATTAATATCATAGGAAAATAGCAAATTCTTCTCACTATTGATGATGTACATGCTCTTTACATTTTACTGCTTTTGTATTTTATTTATTATTGCGAAAGATGCAAAATGCATGAATACGTGGTAAAAAGAAGACACTAAATAAATATAACAGTGTCGGAGAGTTTTTAAATACGATAGTTAGTAAATATATTGTATTTACATTATCCACTAGAAGGTTTTATTTTTTATTATAGTAACTTACAGTAATTATAATAATTCAATGTTTTATTATAGTGATAATAATCGATCGGTAATATAAAAAAGAAATAGGAATGGCTAATGAAAAATTTATTCATATATAATACATAGAAATGTACAATGTAACTAAATTTTAATCTGCAAATAGAATAAATGAACGCAACTCGCCATCAGGCGACCACTATACACCTACTAATAAAAATAAATTATTCCCAAACTAAACTTGTATTAAATATAAATAATTAAATGCTTAAGCATGTCATTCCTAGTTTTTAAATAAAAAGTTGCGACAACTTTCAATGTGATCATTATGTAAATAATAAATTACGATTAAACAAATAATATATAAAGGAGTAAGAAACAAATAGTGTTCATAATAAATAGACGAATTGTCGAATAATGGATAATTAGTGATGTTAATTCACCTAGAATGGTTCAAGTAGTAGTTCTGACAAGAAATATGTCGTAAGCGAGTTACTGTAAATACGGATTCAAAAAATAATATTTTGTTAATTCGAGAAGTAAGTTATCGATACACAATATCGCTTGAAATGTTCGATGCTCACAATGAGAACTGTGAATCATGTATTCTTATTGCAATACTATGTACTTTCTTTTATTGACTTGCATTTATATAATAATATATCAATTCCAAAGATATAAAAAAAGTTCATTGAAAATAAAACTTTAGACATTGAATGTATTTCTATGAGGCGATATAGAAATTTATATTGTGTTTTAGTAATGATTCGTGTTACCATTACGTAAATGTTGTAATGTAATTGTTTAATACAGCGAATGTATTAATTTCATTTTGTTTATCACAACGGTAAGATTATATTACCATATAAAATATGCAAATTCTTAGTGATCCTACATATCAGTAACAATACTTTACGTTTATTCCATTTTCTGTGAATGTTCTGATACTTGCGAGCAAGACTGAAAAAATACCTAATAAGTTGGTTTTTATTTCATTGCATTTGTATTTGACGTTACATTCATAACAGCCTCTAAATAATATTTACTACCGTTCACACACGTAAATTACATATACCACTAATATTGGAATAGTAGAACATTAGACATTTTTATTTATTAATGTATATACTGCGAGAATGGTTTTAAGAAGTTATATACTGCCAGTATTTAATAAATAGAACATTTAAAAATAAACTGGTTGAATTGTTGAATGTATCAAATAAAGTTATATGCAATTTAATTGCATAGAATCTTTCATTTATAAAGTAATAATTAACTTTGCAATACTTTTAGCTAATCAGAAGAAAATTATCAAATTGAAAATATAATTGTAATGGACTGCAACATAGAGTTTTAAGATTAGGATTTGTAATCATTTAATCATTCCATTGATTGTAAAATTTCAATTGTAATTGTATCGTTGCAATTCAACCACAAATGTAGTATTCATTTTGTACACGAACTTGTCATAAAAAAGCTGATTCTGAATCTCTTTGTAAATATTTTGTTGACTTACAGTAAGTTCAGCTGTTTAGTTACAGCTTATTTCAAACACAAGTACATTTACAGACCGTGCTTTCGTAAAAATAAATAAACATTACGAAGTTCAGTATTCCGTAATTTTTCAATAGATTCTTAGCAAATAAAATTGTGTTTTTATTATTGCCTGTCCCGTTCCTTTTCTTAGATTAAGTTTAAATGCAGGACATATTACTGTAGATAAAAATTATAATCCTGTTCTAAAAAGTTTGCTATTGTGACCACTATACTGCAAAAAAAAGAATTACTATTGTCATCCAAGAAAAAAAAGCTTATTACAAAGAGAAAGTAGATAAGATGTTTATAACAAAATATAAAACATGTGTATTTTGCCATGCCTTTAGCTTTTCTGAATTAAGCTTGGATTACTTTATAAAAAAAAACACAGTTTTGTAAATACATTGAATATTTTATTCTTGCCTTGAAAATCTTCCATGTTTGCTATATAATGGAATTAGAAAGCACATATAAATTAAACATGACAAAAATGTTGTTTATAATTTTTTTTAAATGTATCCTTATCAATTGGAGCAGTGAAAACGTCAACATTTTTTCTAATTAGATATTTCATTAATTTCTATGAACTTTCGTCACTAAATATTTTGTTTACCTGAGACAAACATCGGCAGTTACACTACGTAAACACTTACAGTTAAATTGAAGAACGTTGATGCAAATTTTGGAATGAAAAACCGAGATCACTTTACATCGCGAAGGGTTAAAATTGCGTATAACGTTCCAATACATTACAATCTCACATCTGTTAACTGCCCAAACGATAATACACGTTGCCCGTCTGACGATGAATAAAATTCGGCAATTAGGTATGGCGTGGTAACGTGCACAATCTGACACAAAATGGCTCTATGACAGCGCCGGGTTTAATAAATCCGTACTGACAATTTAATGTCTCTATTGTGACCGCGACAGGCAACGGTACCGGCGACTGAACTTGATTAGGTTAATACGAAAGGGGACCAGATTTCTTCGCTTCCGCTCTTTAAATTCAATTACCAGGACGTACTCCACCAGTTAAAACATCATATATCAGCTTTGTCCGGAGGAAGTACGATTCGTGATGAGCCGACGGAATCAATTATCCTCAGAAATAATAACATCGACTTATTGACCCTTGGCAAGGGTGAGGGTCATACCCTTTGCCCAAAAATAATTTAGTTTCGTATTTAACTGTCCCAAGATAACCGCTACACAACGATCCAGGCTTTTCGACGAAATTAAGACGTTCTTCGTTTGTATATTTCAAGTCTGTATCAGTAATCGTACTGCATAAAATGTTATTAATTATGAGATACTAAAAATATTGAAGTAATGTGTTTTCACGTTTATTTAATTTATTTTCTTCTTTAACTGAAGGTTCTGCGACTTTCGTGAGTATTCCTGTTTCAGGAGGTAAATAATTTATTTCAAAACTTGAAGCAGAGTTTCGTATCTAAGTTCTTTTTAGTTGGTTATGTAAGTCTATTTAGGTGTAGCATGGCCTATGCAATTCATTGTGTGTACATTTTAATTTTTTTCTTCGTTGTAATAGAAAAAATACCTAAGCTGAAAGTGAAATAAAAATGAAGATCTTTTATTTATTTCATTTTTTTTAATTATTCTTTGTAACAGAAATATTCTAAATAGACGTCTCCTTAAAATAAGGTGCTTAAAATCTGCTTCGTAGACGTATTCAGAAAAGAATTTGTTTAAAATATTCCACAAACTGTACATTTTTCGAACATCTCACGATAATATTCTATACAATGTTTTGATAATGGAATTTTTTTTTAATCGATGTTTCAACAACCGATAGCTCTATCAATCGTTATTCCGATAATCAAGGTTCCACAGTAATAAAAAAAGGATTTCGTACCCTAAACAGAAAAGGACTTACGTGGCCTGTCAAATATGGACGCTCGACTGTTGTTTGAAGACAATGGGCTCACACAGTGCCACGACAGTCAATGAATTGATATCGTTATTGTAACAACATAATAGACATATTTTCTTATTGAGATTACAGTCCACTGTGTCTCTAACGTGCGTGCCGCGTCGGGTTGCCTTTATGAATACATTCATTCATGCGAGTCGTATATATGTATTACGCAATTATTACAAAGTTGACGTGTGAGGCTAAGGACCCCGTCTCTCGCACAAAGGTCACTGGAAATCTGCGGACTGCCATAATAATTACCTCCATGACAAAAGGAGATACATTCGTTTTGAAATGAAACGCAATTTTTCTTTCGAATGCGAACATTTTATTCTGAGTTATTGTACATTAAGTGACAGAGTTATCGTTCGATTATATATCTGTTCTTATCTTACTTATAATAGTGAAAATAAAATTTTAAAATGTCGAACGTGATTTGACATAGGAATTTTTGAATATAACTGATGTCTACATTATCATAAAGGTAGAAGAAACACGAAAGGGATCAACTGAAAAGTTTCCTCCCTGTAAACGCAAGAAAAAACACAATTTCAATAGAGTAGTATTACGTAACGTGGTACTTTATAAAATTACAAGATATCCGATGATGATAGCAAGAACACCACGGAAAATGGGAATTCTCTATCGCAGAACTTTTCCCACCAGCTAACTCGATTCGTTCCTCGAGACTGACCGTTGGTCCATTAACTCGGCGCCGCCTAATGTTCACAATTGCGCTTTGTCACTTGTTGAAATTGACTTTACGAAAAATCTTTAATGAAAGCTGATTTCCTGGAAGCCCCAATCTAAGGCAGTACCACCAGTCTAATTTCGCCGTCGGAATTACATGTCGTTGTAGGATAATAACAAGGCGAAGTAAGCATAGTTTGGTAATGCTCGAGAACCAATGCTACGC